ATTCTTCACTAAGCCCCTTTAATAGAATAATCATGATATAATTGACTCTTCTTTAATGATTTAATAGTACACAAGACGTCAACAATTTCATACCCATTAATGACACATTTTCCTTTATATTTATTATTCAGTATAATTGTATCTAAAGGAAATTCATTTTAAAAATGACTTTATTATACAATGATCTGTCAACTCATGTAAACAAGCTATTTCTTTAAAATGTCCTTGTAAGAAAATAAAAAATACGAAAAAGTTTTCCTTTAGCAAAGAAATTTTGTACGACAAGGCAAAAATAAAAACTGAAATAAAATATTGAGTTCAAGACCAGTTAAACTAGAAAAGACATTTAAAGAAAAAAAAAATAACAAAATTCCTTGAAGAAGGTAATAAACCAAAAATATATTTTATATTTATTATAAAACAGAAATGTTTTACGATACCCAGTTGACCAAAATAATTGTGTAAATTTTTTCCAAATATTACATCATGCGAGTATCCATACTTATCGTTTATTCATTATTTTTAAGATCAACCTATACTATTTCAATGAGTTACGTTACGTTAGAAAGGTCTTCATAATACCTTTCACTTGATATACATATTTATATATATTTCCTATATACAGAACTTTGTATCCGAGAAATGTTATCACAATTGATCTATAATAAACATATTTAAGGGGCTAAACGCATTGCTCACAAACTTTTTCTATTATAGAGAATATTTGTAAGAAATTTCAGACCCATAGATGTAACTATTCGGACCCTATCATGATTTCAACAGAAAGACATGTAGGGCTAGATCGTCATAAATCTAAGAAGGACCTAGAATATACATATAAACTTATATACATATAAACTTTTGTTGGTCTACAACAGATACATATGTATATCGATATATGTCAAATGGAATGTCAAAATCAATATATCTCCATCGTCATGATGGTGGGCATTCTGATTCTCAAATTATCGCACTAATGTGTTTGATATATCGGTACATGAATTGTGATAAACTAGACCTTAACTAAGATGAATTGCACAAATAAAACGGACATCGCAAAATCAACTTATTTAGCTAACTTTAGCTCATCCAAATTATGATCAACTGGTTAATAGATATTTAAACAGTTACAGAGATAAAACGTCTATATACTCTTAACCGTACAAGTCATAAATGATGAAAATGAAAACAATAAAAAGACATTTTCTTTATAAAAAGAATAAAATACATATATATTTTTTATAATAAAGAAGAAACCTTTTCTAAAACCACTCTCATATATTTCCAATAAAAATATCAAAACGGATATAATACAAAAGGTTAAAAGAGCACAAAAATACACATAGACTATAATACCCAGCAAACAAAAGTTTAAAAGTTTGATATCCAAAAGACATTTGTAATATATATCAAATTTAAAGTTAAATTTTGAACATTTCTCTATTAATAAATGCTACATTTTCTCCGTTTCTTAAAGTTCTATGTTTGCTGGGTTATTACCAAAACATATACATTATTATTTATTGTTATCTTGGCAATATTTATACACATTGGATGCCCTTTATTACAACCATTAACTAGTATGAGAAAAATTGTCTTTTTAACCTCTCATGTAACCAACTGATTTGTGGTAATTTAAGTCATTATATTGGATTTATATATCATTCCTAAACACTCACACATACACATCTATATAAAACTTAGACAAAAATATATATATTTTTTTCTCATTTTTATTAGAAAAAATATCTAATTGTTGTTGCAGTATTTACAATTTAGCATGTAATTCCTTTATTAGTTTTCAAGTACAGGTCTTTATTGTGGCTTTTAAAAGGAAGTGAAAATTTTATATGCTTCCGTTTTTTTTTTTTTTTCTTTAAAGCAAAAGTAAATAGACGAGAATTGTTACTAAGATGTGTAATAATGTAATGTCACATTTGTAAAAGTAAAAAGCAATGTATGTAATCTTTATTACTAAAGGCATTAGTTAAGTAAGTAGTTTACATTTTTAAATAAAATACATATGTATGCACATATGTAAGTACATATTTCCTTTATTATTTTTTGCTACAAAGTAAAGTTTATAACTTTTTACTTTGACCTAGTAAAATTTGCATATTTTTTACACACTTTTATATAGAAAACAATAAATTTAAATTTTTAAGAAATTTTCTTAATCAAAAGTTTTCTATAAAAAATTCAAGAAAATATTCTATAAAAAAGAAAATACAAATGAAAATTTTTGGAAATATTTCTTAGAAAAAAGAAAATTTTTGGAAAATTTACTATAAAGAGAAAATTCATCGATAATTTTATATAAAAATAAAATTTTCTTCAAAAAAAGGAAAATTTTCTATAAAAAGAAAATTTAACGAAAAATTGTCAATAGAAGAAAATTTATCGAAAACTTTTTAAAAGGATAAAATTATTGAAAATTGTGCGTAAAAAGGAAAAATTTATCAAAAAAAAAGAAAAATTTCCATAAAACAGAAAATTTATCAAAAACTTTCTATAAAAAGGAAAATTTATCAAAAACTTTCCTAAAAAGGACAATTTATTGAAAATTTTCTATAAAAGGGAAAATTTATCGAAAATTATCCTTAAAAAGCAAAATCAATCGAAATCTTTCCAAAAAACTGAGAATTTATGGAAAACTTAATTAAAAGGAAATTTTATCGAAAACTTTCTAAAAAAAGGAAAATTTCCCGAAAACTTTCTATAAAAGAGAAAATTTATCGAAAACTTTCTATAAAAAGGAAAATTTATCGAAAACTTTTTATAAATGGATAAAATTCATCGAAAACTTTCTATAAAAAGGAAAATTTATCAAAATCTTTCCATAAAAAAAAAATTATCGAAAACTTTCTATAAAAAGGAAAATTTATCTAAAACTTTCTATAAAAAGGAAAATTTATCAAAATCTTTCTATAAATAGAATATTTATCGAAAATTTTCTATAAAAAGAAAATTTATCGAAAATTTTCTATAAAAAGAAAATTTATCGAAAATTTTCTATAAAAAGAAAATTTATCGAAAATTTTCTTTAAAAAGAAAATTTATCGAAAATTGTCTATAAAAAGCAAAATTTTCTATAAATGAAAAAGTATCGAAAAATTGTCTATAAAAGGAAAATTTTTCGAAAAATTGTCTATAAAAAGACAATTTATCGAAAACTATCTATAAAGGGATAAATCTATTGAAGTCTTTCTATAAAAAGGAAAATTTATCGAAAATTTTCTTAAAAAATTAAAATATAAAAAGGACAATTTACCGAAAACTTTCTATAAAGGAAAAAATTTATCGAAAATTTTCTATAAAGGAAAAAGTATAGAAAAATTGTCTATAAAAGGGAAATTTTTCGAAAAATTGTCTATAAAAAGAAAATTTATCGAAAACTATCTATAAAAGGGATAAATCTATTGAAGTCTTTCTATAAAAAGGAAAATTTATCAAAAATTTTCTTTAAAAAGTAAAATATAAAAAAGACAATTTACCGAAAACTTTCTATAAAGGAAAAAATTTATCGAAAACTTTCTATAAATGGAAAATTTATCGAAAATTGTCTATAAAAAGAAAAATTTATCGAAAATTTTCTATAAAAATAAATTTTATCGAAAATTCTCTATAAAAAGAAAATTTATCGAAAATTGTCTATAAAAAGAAAATTTATCAAAAATTGTCTATAAAAAGAAAATTTATCGAAAATTGTCTATAAAAAGAAAATTTATCGAAAATTGTCTATAAAAAGAAAATTTATCGAAAATTGTGTATATAAAGAAAATTTATCGAAAATTGTGTATAAAAAGAAAATTTATCGAAAATTGTGTATAAAAAGAAAATTTATCGAAAATTGTGTATAAAAAGAAAATTTATCGAAAATTGTGTATAAAAAGAAAATTTTTCGAAAATTGTGTATAAAAAGAAAATTTATCGAAAATTTTCTATAAAAAGGAAAATTTATCGAAAATTTTCTATAAAAAGGAAAATTTATCGAAAATTTTCTATAAAAAGGAAAATTTATCGAAAATTTTCTATAAAAAGGAAAATTTATCGAAAATTTTCTATAAAAAGGAAAATTTAACGAAAATTTTCTATAAAAAGAAAATTAATTGAAAATTTTCTTTTAAAGTGAAAATTCATCGAGAATTTTCTATAAAATTAAAATTTATCGAAAATTTTCCATAAAATTAAAATTTATCGTAAATTTTCTATAAAATGAAAATTTATCTATAAGAAGAAAATTTTTTATAAAAAGAAAATTTATGGAAAATTTTCTATAAAAAGAAACTTAATTTTATTGAAAATTTTTGATAATTTTCTTTTGGAAAGTGTTTGATAAAATTTCATTTTTAGAAAACTCTTCTAAGACAAAGAGAATCCGTCCGAACCTCTCAGTTTTACAATGTTAATAAAACCAAGAGGGAAATATACTGTCAAAGCCACATAATGTCAAAACCAGAGAAGAGGTATTATCCGTTTACAATGTAAACTTTACATTAAGGAATGTGGCAGCATACTGAAATTCTAAGTGGAAAAAATGCTAAATTATTCTTTAAAATGGGGAAAAAATCCTAAGAGAGAGGTGACGATCACCAGCCTGCAAGAAGAGACTAGCGCTAACAAGGACTCTAAAGCAATGGTCTTCAAATAATCATTATCATCTACAGGCTATCTGAAGGAGTCAAATCCTAAGCGCTAAGAGATGAATACTAACTCGCAGGAAGGCAATTTATTGAAAAACCATGATTGAGGTCATCCTAATAAAGCTCCCATTTTCACCACCTCGAGTTATCGTTTAACTGGTAGTTATTCGTCCAGTGAAGACAATTTTTGTATAGGAACTGTCAATATATCTTAAAGTTAAAAAATAACTAGACATTGTGAAAATTTACAACTTCTTAAATCTGATATATGGTTTTATCTCGTATACTATATCACAAACCTATATTTTCTTCTTTGAACAGAAAATTTTTAAAATATATATTTGTATAAAAACTTACCAAAATTATGTCGAAGATCTGCAAAGAAAAAGAAAAAAAAATAAAAGGTTAATTTTCCGCCATGATCATTTAATAAAAACGTATAAAATAATTAAAATTAATCTACTTTTTTGATTATAATTTTACAGACCATGATTTCAGAACATAAAATGTCATTAATTACTCTTTCTTTCAAATACATGTCTACAAACTGTTGGCTGAAAGAAACATGAGATGTTAAGATTTTATTTGAAACTAAATCCCGGCTTAAGATTTCACACTTATTAAAAGTCTACTATTCTACCTTAAGTGTATTTTGTCATTCTGGGTTTTTTTTTTATTGATTTCCTTTTTTCGACAAGTTTTTTTTTTTGGAACATATGAAGAAAAAAAACGTTTATAAAAAGCAGAAAAAAAGAAAATGTGAAATGTTATTTCATATTAAGAGAATACTTTTAAAATACTTCCTTTATATTATTTGGTATATTATATTTAGAGTTAAATGCCCAGCTGTACTGGGTGTTAGAAACTGAAAATGTTACCACGTTCACCATTTAAGGTAAATAACAGAATTGAAAATATTGCTTTTTTGGGAAGATAAATTCACAGATATAACAATTGGTTCTCATCACGACAATTAACCGCTAAATGCATTACTTTGAAAGAATGTTTTCCGAAAGAGTATACAAACTAGTTTACTTAGAATCAGTAAAGTAGCTATTGACTCTAGGCTTAATTACCTGTGACGTGAAAAATAAACAAGTTAATTTGTTCTTCATAACATTTCATTATGGATGAAAGTTTTCCGAAAGTGTTTACACACTAGTTTACTTGGAATCGGTAAAGTAGCTATTGACTCTAGGCTTAATTACCTGTGACGTGAAAAGTAAACAAGTTAAATTGTTCTTCATAACATTTCATTATGGAAGAAAGTTTTCCGAAAGTGTTTACACACTAGTTTACTTGGAATCAGTAAAGTAGCTATTGACTCTAGGCTTAATTACCTGTGACGTGAAAAGTAAACAAGTTAAATTGTTCTTCATAACATTTCATTATGGAAGAAAGTTTTCCGAAAGTGTTTACACACTAGTTTACTTGGAATCAATAAAGTAGCAATTGACTCTAAACTTAATTACCAGTGATGAGAAAAGTAAACAATGACGTAAAAAGTAAAAAAGTTAATTTGTTCTTCATAACATTTCATTATGGAAGAAAGTTTTCCGAAAGAGTTTACAAACTAGTTTACTTAGAATCAGTAAAGTAGCTATTGACTCTAGGCTTAATTACCTGTGACGTGAAAAGTAAACAAGTTAATTTGTTTTTCATAACATTTCATTTTTGGATGAAAGTTTTCCGAAAGTGTTTACACACTAGTTTACTTGGAATCAGTAAAGTAGCTATTGACTCTAAACTTAATTACCAGTGATGAGAAAAGTAAACAACTTAATTTGTTTTTCATAACATTTCATTTTGGAAGAAAGTTTTCCGAAAGTGTTTACACACTAGTTTACTTGGAATCAGTAAAGTAGCAATTGACTCTAAACTTAATTACCAGTGATGAGAAAAGTAAACAACTTAATTTGTTTTTCATAACAAAAATCACGTACTGTGAAGTGTTCAAAGAATCAAAAAAGATACCAGCGTTTAAAAGGGATACTTTGGCCAATAGCAAAACTGATGGGTTTTATATATACATATATGTATGTATTCATATACATATATAATAAAGCATGTGTGTATTTATATACCTGTTCTTCATACAATGTTGATCCTTGTCAAATGTCAAATTAAATTCCTGTTAGAATGTTCGTTCGTTCAATCCACTACATTGTTGCTAAACAACAAGAGTAAAGCAGCAAATGACTGTAGCAAAACTTGTACAGTAGCAATAGCAACTGCAGCAGAGACAGTAGCAACGACAAATATAACAAGAACCACTGAACATTAAGAGCAGAACCGAAACGAACAACAAGTTCATTTATACGAATCCCAAAAAAAAAAAATTGAAAAAAAAAAACAGTTTAAAAAGCAGTCGAATATATATAGTAGTAGCTGTAGTAAGGGTAGTAGAGCACCACCGAAGAGTGTTAACACTGGCATTGATTTCATTTGGCCTCGTGCCAATTTTCTTTTAACTAAATAAAATAAAAATACTTTTTCTATAGATTTAAACAGTCACAAATGCTAACAACAATATATCCTTTTAAATCCAAAAAAAAAAAAAAGAAAAATTAAAGTTGTACAATTCGCATACAAGTAAAAGTGCTTAAAATGAAAATAGCAACAACATTTTATTTATTTAAATAAAACATTATTATTTTATTTAATAATAAACAATTTTATTGATTCAATAAACGTGTCCTGTTAAAAAGACATTTTTACTTTTTTTCTTTAAATAAATAACAAACAATACAGAACAGTGGAAAACAGCAACAGCAGCAGTGAACGTAGTAGGAAACTGTCATGAATACTAAAACCTCGTGCTAAGTTTAAAACTCATACAATTCCATTCTATTCTACAAGTTCTATATTTATTCTGCTTCCTTTATTATATAAATAAAGTACCAGAAGAAACACCTACTTCTTTTGCGTTACACACACAAACATTCATACACAACTTCAGTCATTTACTCACTCTATCCATCATTCACCATTCACATGGTTCCACTTCATCATCATTCCAACATACTTTTTTACATAAACATGTTCTAACAAACACTCTATAAATAACGTCGTTATGAACGCGTGCTTCTGATACAGAGTCAGTTCAAAAGTATTCCCTGCGATTTTTTTCTTCCTTTTTTTTCTTGGCAGAGCTTTAAAGGTATGTTAATTGTGGTGGGTTAGGAATTTAATTAAGAGGTAGTTTATAGAATTTGTTAAGAGAGTTAAAAAATATTTAAGTAATAATGTTGGACAAAAAGTGTAATTTTTGTTGTTATAACCTTAAAAGGAAACTAAGATGAAATAGAGGAAAATTCATCACATCACCTGGGATGCATAAAGTAGACAATTAACCTCAGTTTGTTATACAAAAGTCAGATAGATATATAACAATATCGGATCGGAAGAAATACACCTATTCCTCTATGCGACCTGCTGGAAGTTTTTTTTTAAATGGAAATGGACCACTATCAATCCTATTTCAGATACCTTGTTCTGAACTTAAGAAAGTATTCTTTCGATCGATACCAGTAAAAGTTGGATAAGACAAGGTCTGGACTGTAAGGCGGATGAGACAAAACTTTCCAATTATTTACATCTCAATAGTTTTTAACAGGTGCCCAATCGTTTTTGGTCTTTAAACGAATCGATTCTGTTCGGTATAGGGTCAAAAAATATACAGAGTATTACTTTAGCGCTATGGATTTGGTGACGATCGGACTTCACATATAATTTTCACCCTACGGATTATCGTAATGGATACATTTTTCATCGCAAGTAATGATTCGGATGTGCAAAATCGCCTTTCATGGTCTCTCGTCTTCATAGTGCCCAATTTCCATGATTTTTGATAAGACGGATTCAGTAGCGCACAATGATTTTGGATTATCAGCCAAAAGAAATGCTTATATTTTGATGTCAAGAGGGATATTCTATTCTGCAGCTAAGTATAGAGCAGGGGGGCGTCAATCTGCATCGATCCAAAGAATGGTAATCGGGCTGAACAAAGTCTAAACCATTAGGCGAGTAAAGCAAAACATCACAACCACTTCTTGCTAAATAGTTTTACACGAGTGACAAAATGTGGCGGAACATTGTCGATTTACTTTTATAACTTTAACTTTAGGACGTCTAAAACACTGCTCTTGGATGACTCCTGATGCTCGTAAACGTTTTGAACGCAACTTGGAAAAGCACTCAGAGTTTTAACTCTGATTCCTTGCCTAGATATTTCTCAATCTTCTTAATCTGTAAGCCCAAAACTTCTTTCAAAACTCTGCCATTTTTTTTGATGTTATGTACTATTGTCAATAATGATGTTGTTGATTATGATGACGATGTTGATTGTAATGTCGTTTTTTTTTTTCTACTTATTTCATATATATTATTTTTTCCTATATGTAAAATAAAACATTATAACAAGCCATAAAAATATGCCTGAGAGTAAAACAAAAAACAAATGTTCGAGGATAAAAAAAAACTCTGAAATAAGTTAGAAAATAACAAAAATATAAATATAAATGGAATTGCTGAAGAATGAAGAACATAACTTAAACTTTGACAGAACAATAACAACGAACAAAACAACTAAAACAACCAGAACTGTAACAGAAATAAAATGGAATAGAATAGGAAAAAAAGAAAATTAAATAAAAAAATACAAATGACAAATACTTGTTCCTCCTTAACAAGCTGTGAAAAAATGAAGGGAGATGAACTTAAAATACATACAAACACTGAGAAAAAGATATTTAGCAATGAGACTGATTTAAGGTCATTTTGTAGAAGTTTGCATAAATCATGTTTTTTTTTTTATTCGGTGGGTCAATTGTTTCAATTGATTAGTTTCTTTCTGTCACTTTAACAGAAATTACATTGCAAAATTATGACTCAAAATACTAAAATAAGTCTGACTAGCTTCGTTTATATTACGACAGGAGTGATCATCGTATCTGGTGTAAAGAAATAAAAGGATCGGATGTGGGTAATGAGTTGCATTGACTGCAAAGAGCGACCACGAGCTTTGTGTTAGATAGTTAGTTAGTAAGTTAGTTAGTTAGTTAGTTAGTTAGTTAGTTTTGTTAGTTAGTTGTTAGTTAGTTAGTTAGTTAGTTAGTTAGTTAGTTAGTTCGTTCGTTTGTTTGTTTAGTTCGTTCGTTCGTTCGTTAGTTCGTTCGTTCTTTTCGTTCGTTCGTTCGTTAGTTCGTTTTCGTTCGTTCGTTCGTTCGTTAGTTCGTTCGTTCGTTCGTTCGTTCGTTCGTTCTTTCGTTCGTTCGTTAGTTCGTTAGTTCGTTAGTTCGTTCGTTCGTTCGTTTCGTTGTTCGTTCGTTCGTTCGTTCGTTCGTTCGTTCGTTCGTTCGTTCGTTCGTTCGTTC